ATTTGAAAGCCGTGTGTCATTTTATTAACATTGTGTTGATCTATGGCTGAAATCCCAACACATTAGTTTTAATGTGGAGTCTGTCTTTCTGCAGATTAAGGTGGACTGTGTGTCTAAGCTGGTATTGATCTGAATTTGGCAACATGGAGACGTCTGAGGACAAGGAAGAGGAAGCTCCTCTCTCTGAAACCACTTTATGTAAGAAACCAGAGGACAAGAGGTGAGATGTCTGTCTCTGCATCACTTTGTCAGGATCAGCACTCCCAGCATTAAACCAACTTTACTTGCAGAAATCAGACTGAAAGAGAATCTGATATGGAGTCTGGCCAGTCTGACCTGAACCAGCTTTCTGCTACAAAGAGGTTAGCTGTAGCTGAATCACATGTGTAAAATGTCACTGAATCAATGTAAAGTATTTCATCTTTCACATGTCAGCACATTCTGCTCCTATGGGAAGTGGTATGTATTGGAAGACCATTATTATTCATAGGAATGAAACATGTATTTTTGAAATTAAGGTGCATGTAAAAAGTTACATTTTATTTTTCTTTATTTTGTAGAAATCAGGTTTCACTTTGACGTTAAAACTGTTCCTTTCGTAAAAATAGTCTTTTAAATATTTGTTGAAACTGTGAATATGTTGTGACCGTATGGTATGAGACAAATAATCTATAAAAAGTCAAGCTGCTCTTAGTGCTGTCAATTATTCCTGTGTATGTGCTGCTCATCCATCCTGTCCCCAGCTAGCTGTAGCAATGCTATTAGCTTTTAGCTTCTACCTGTTGGCAGAGTCTGCTAGGATTGCTGATGATAGTTATCATGGTCATCAATGACGCAGGTAAACAGATTTCCTGTCTTGGTAATTTGTTTCTCTGCCATTAGCACATTAAGCAGCACATACACAAGGTTAATTGACAGCGCTAAGACCTTCCTCCAGGCTCTTATTGGTTGGTTTTGACTGGCAGCGTTGCATTTCTTTAGATGGAAAAACTAGTTGGAGGAGTTTGATCTTTTCACAGATTGTCTCTCATACCATCGTGTCACGACATGGTGACAGCTTTAACAAATATGTAAAAAACATGTTTTATAAAAGTTACATGTTACAGCTTTAAGGAGATTTTTTGTTATTTTTTTGTAAAAAAAAAAAAAAAAAGCCTGTAATTGTTGGATCATGATTGCTTTTAACAGCAATAAAAGGCTAAAATGTTCACGGTGGTGAATGGTTTTCATTCACACTGTAGATTTATTAATCCAAGAAGTTTATTTCTGACAGGAAATAAAAGAGGCGTCTGACTGGACTGACATTCTCATCCACAGGAAACAGGAACAAGAACCTGGACCAAGCTGTCTGTCCTTCAAGAGCACCAAGTCAAAAGATGCAGGAATTAGTTTTAACATTGACGAACCTTCAGATGCAGTGAGGTGAGCTTCATGGAAATTTTCTAACTGTGTATTATGAGACCCACTGAAAGGTTTTCATTCCAAAATGGCAACTTTTATTTCTTTTATGTCTTAGAGGTGGAATATAATATAACTGTTTTCCTTATCAAAATAATTTATTGCAAATCCATCACTAATAAAACCATTTAAATAATGCACTGCTCTTTAAGGGTAACTTCAGGGCTGCATGATATTAGAAAATTGCAATAACAACATCATATGCAATTTACAGTGGTCTATCTGTCATGATTTGGTATTGTTTGCGGTGAGAGAGACCCTCATAAGCCCAGGCAGACATTTAGAAGGTGTTTAATGATAA